AAAAAAAAAATTAAGGGCTGGTGAGATGGCTCAGTGGTCTAAAGCACCTACTCAGAATAAGCTTAGCAAAGCACAGGGACCACAGTTCAATCCCCCAGCACCACATGCCAGCCAGCCCCGCCCCCTGGTGGGCTGAGCTGGCCACACACAAATAAATAAATAAATAAATAAATAAAATTTAAAAAAAATAAAAAAAATAAAAAATTGTTTCAATCTCTCTTTCTTCCTTTACTTGGTACAGGGTCTTACTTTCACAGCTCAGACTCAGTGATCCTCCTGTCTCAACCTCCTCAGTGCTGGGGTTAGAGGCATGCCCATGCCCAGTTTTGGTGACCAGCACAACACACCCAGAGGTTCTGGAAGCTGGCACAGCATATGGTACAGGAGATGCTACCCAGGTCCTTGTTCTTGCCTGGCAAGCACTTAGACCACTTTCTCCCTAGCCCCTTAATTTCTCATATATATCTTTTCTTTTGTATTTTAAAGAAGGGTCTACAGCATGCTCAGGGTCTCACTACTAGATCAGACTCACAGTGATCCGCCTGTTTACAGCTTCCCAAGAGCTGGGATTACAGGTGTGCACCACCATCCCCAGTCTCAATTGCTGATGCAGCAAGCCCCGGGGGCAGGGCCAGGAGGCAAGCCTGGGAATTGAACCCCTCGCCCCTGCCCCTGCTTGCAGGAGCTTTAATCTGCTGAGCTATTTGGCCAGCCCTAAGACTGAGATTTCTAAGGCCTATATGTGACTTTCTTTGGGGGGAGGACTCAATATATTGACAAACAGGGACGGTACTTTTTGGCGGGACCTGGTTTGAACTCAGGCTTGCACTTGCCAGGGAAGCGCTTATTCCACTGAGCCATCTCCCCGGCCCAAAATATATTGACAACTCCACTGTAACTTTAAAAATCTGGTTTCTCCACCAGACACATGTCCCCCACACAGACCTATCACCCAGGAGCTCATAGAGCGCATCAGGTGCTGCCCAAGAACAGCATCTCCTGTCACTAAGCCTCGGACACCTCCTGGACCAAGTCACTCCCCGCTCCAAAGAAACCCATTTCTAAGGAGAAGAAAAGGAGAGCTTCCTCATGGAAGACAGGAGAAGGAAAGAAACGCTCATAATGTTTGCCCAAGTGTTCTCCTAGCTGTCTCACCTCTAATAGCTCAGGAAGTCTACGCAGGTTGCATGGACTTCTCAAGGGAGCTCCCTCCCTGACTTAGGACAGGAGGAAACTGCCTTCTTGCTGTCTAGGACAACTACATCCTTCGCTGGAAGATGTGATCAATGGTATTTTATTTTACAAAGATGAAGGAAAAAGCAGTCATCTGATTTCATTTGACTTAAAGAAAAAAAAGTGCTCTACCAAATTAAAGTATCAGGTCAATGCACAATGACAAACTGCAAACCTTTAATACAATATGGTTAAACATGATATTCAAATAGTAAACTTTTCAAGCACATGAAGATCATTATCTGAAAGACAAATGGGGCTCTTATTGTTTCCTTGTATAACTATAAAATCAACTATATCTGACAGTGATGATCTTGGTATTTGTTAGAATGTCTGATGTAAAAAAAGAGGAATGCCTGATGTAAGGTAATATCTTTTTTTTTGTAGGACAGAAGATATTTATTTTATTATTTTTTTCCCATAATTTTATTGAGAAACAAATAGCAATGAGACAGTTTCAAATCAAATTGGTAGGACAGTTTCAATAATTAACACATTGCATACATTCTTCCTAGTGGTTAATTGCTGTACAAGATGCGGACATGATATCCTATTTACAAACACCATTAGAACAAATCCCTCTATTCATTAAGAGAATGTAACTATATATCTATCCTAACCACTTTGAATACACAAATACAAAATGGACATTCATCTGTATCTCCTTTTTTTGTTAAGTTCCGTTATTTGAATATTATAAGTGTGTAATCTCAGCAAAATATTCTAAAAGAGTCCAGTAGCCCATAATAGTATTGGGTCTTCCGCTTGACTGGCAATGTCAGAAATTGTTGACCTGAGTCCCCTACAGCTCAACATAACACCATAGCTTTACTTCTTATACTTCGTTTTTATACTTTTCTGCTGGATGGTTAAGACCAAGGTAAAGCAGGACCTATGCAACAAGAGTTGTAGCTTTTGGGTCTGATAAGGTCAGTGAAATCCCCTCAGGATTTATCCTGAGATCCTGTACCTCAGAGGTAATGTCAACTTAACCATCAGAGACTTAGGTCATCACAATGCCCATCTTCAGCACTCATCATCAGAGGACAGAGCATCATCTTCATCTCTGACTTCTCCGAATCTCTCTACAGACTCCCCTTCTGGACTGTGGTAAGTTACGGTCCTAGTAAGAATTGCTGAATTATTATGGTGGTTGTCTGACATGGCTGAAGCCCTTAAAAGAACAGCTTATCTTCCCCATGACCACTTCCTCCACCTTCCCCACTCCAGCCCTGGCTACAACTTCCTGTGACCTTTCCCGCCCACACAAGGGAGCCTCCAATCAGCTCCTTATACGTCACTAAACCCACCCCTCAAGCTCCGCCCCTGGCAGAAGTCCAGAGTCTCAGGCTTCCTGTCTCAGGTCAGAGGATCTGCCCATCTCCTGCCCTTGTCCTCTCCGCGTGTTTAGAGTTAATAAAGGCTTTCCCTCCCCCATTTCTGCTTCTCTGCTGCGCCGCCATTGCTGCTGCCTCTAAAACCTATCAGACTGTATTTTAATATTCAGTCTTTCTGTTAGTTTTTGTGCTGCAAGCTTCACACGCATTTCCTCACAATTCTGATTCTGCTGTTGCTGAAGTGTCACTCTTCTGTGGTCAGCAGCTGCATGGGCAGATGGTGCAGCGGCAGGAGCCATGCTGCTGTGATGTCATCAGGGTGCTGCTTGTCCCTGCACCACCGCTCCTCTGAGGACACAGGAGACTCTCCCCTCTGACAGTGACCAGCTGTGCCTCTGTGCAGTGACAGTAACATATTGGTTTTAAATTTGTATGGTGGGGGCACTGGGTTCTTGGCTTGCATTCTAGCACTTCCATGGAATGAGGCCTCTTAGGGGGCCCACTACAGAGGCTTGTCAAGGTCTCGGCACTCGTGCTTGCTCCTGAGCAGTGCTCACTGTGGTCTGCAACCGTGCTCCTTTGCAACTTGTCAATAAGCAGTTTGTTCAAGGCACCAGAAATATCTTCTTGAATAAAAGTATGTATGCTGACCATGGAAAAATTATTCACTTTTCCAAAGTAGCAGGGTAAAATATTAAAACGATTTTATGATTAGCAAAATAAAATCAAGTCTTCTATGGAATCAAAAGGAAAATTTGTGCCAGAACTTGATGAAAAATGAGTAACCGACTTTTCATTTTTGGCAGATTTGATCATTCATCTAATGAGTTAAACATGCATCTAGAAGGTGAAAATCAACTTGTCTGTTCTATGCTTCAAACCATAACAGTGCTCAAAATAAAATTTAAGTTATGGCAAATTCAAGTTATGGCAGAAAATTTTATGCATCTTGATATGTTGGCTACGCCCAGCCCTGGGACCAGTGAAAAGCATGCAATTTTGCTTTCCATTTTGATATAAGAATTTGAGGACTGGTTTTAAAACTTCAAAGAAAACCAATTATTTGGTATATCTATGATTCCATTTTCAGCCAACATACACTCCTTGTGAACTTCTACATGAAACAGAGCCATAGTCTGATATTTATCTCAAAGAAAAATCTGACTGTGCTCAAGACCCATCTTTCCCAAGAAAAATACCCTCCCTTCATGATCACACCTTCATGTCATCACTTGGCAGTGTGCTCTTTGTGACAAACCTCTGGAGACTACCTCAATGACTTAAAGAACCGCAACCACTTCCATCAAACCAGACAATATTAGTGTCAAAGAAAAACGGTCACATGTTCCATCAGTTTTGTTTATGTTGTTTTTTTCGTGTGTGTGTGTGTGTGTGTGTGTGTGTGTGTGTGGGGCCAGCTCAGCCCACCAGGGGGCGCAGCTGGCTGGCATGTGGTGCTGGGGGATTGAACCGTGGTCCCTTTGCTTTAGCTAAGCTTATTCAAATAGGTGCTTTAGACCACTGAGCCATCTCACCAGCCCCTATGTTGTTTTTTTCTTTGTTTTTATTTTTTTGAGACAGGGTCGCACTATGTAGTTCAGGATAGGGAACCTGTCGGTTAGCTCAGTTGTTTAAGCCCCTGCTTATGCAAACTCAGTCAGGCACAGGATAATGGTTAGATCCCCAGCTCCACATGCCTTATCAGACCCGCCCTTAAGGCAGCCTGAGCCCGCCCCCCCAAAAAAAATTCCTTGTAGTTCAGGCTGGTCCTGAACTCACTATGTACCCCAAGCTGGCTTTGAACTTGGCAATCCTACCATTATGTTGTTTTTTAGTGTTACTATAATAAAATTTAAAAATTAACTAAGTTTTCTTACTTATACATATTAACTACATATTTTATATGTGGCCCACAACAGTTCCTCTCCACTCAGAGCAGCCCAGGCTCACTTACAGGTGGACACGACAGTACAAGACACTGGCCAAGGGCAAAGTGCACCCTACTCCAGCCTTCAAAGGCACTCAGTCCTGCCACTGCTTCAATTTTAGCCAAGGGGGGCCCATTTAGGCTTCTGAACTATGAAACTATACAGTAAAAAATCTGTACCGTTTAGTCTCTAAGTTTGGGCTATGGAGATAGCTCAGTGGTCTAAGCGCCTGTGTAGGCAAGCACAAGGACCTTGGTTCCCAAGGACCTGAGTTCAGTCCCTGATACCACATGCCATACCAGCCCCACCCTGGGCGCACCAAGCCAGTCACAGACCGGGTGTGGTTATGCATGCCTGTAATCCCAGCGCTGGGGAGGCTGAAAAAGGAGAATCATTACAAGTCCAAGCTGTGTAGTGAGACCCTGTATCAAATACATAAAAAAATAAAAATAAAGCCTCCAAGTTTGTGGCAATTTGGCAAGTAGTTGTTTTATGCAGATTCATAGGTATGAGGTCAATACACAAACAATTTCTATTTCAGGTTGCTGATAAACAGCTATAAAACAGAACTTCTAAAAGCTTATTTACAATGGCATCAAAATTTAAACATCCCCAAGTCTATATAAAAAACTATGACGGGGCTGGAGAGATGGCTCAGTGGTCTAAAGCACCTACTTGAAACAAGCTTGGCAAAGCACAGGGACTGCGGTTCGATCCCCCAGCACCACATGCCAGCCAGCCCCGCCCCCAGGTGGGCTGAGCTGGCCACACACACACACACACAATAAATGTAATAAATAAAAAAATAAATAAATAATTAAAAAAAAAGCTATGACCATTGTATCTTTTCAGAAAACTTAAATCATTATTTAAAAACTCAAGACACAAATAAACCACTGATCAAACTGTCAAGATGCCAATTCTTGGGCTGGGGAGATGGCTCAGTAGAATAAGAGCTTTTAAAAAAAAAATGCCAATTCTCCCCTAATTGTTTTACAGCTTGATGTAATTCCAAGCAAAATTCTATATTTTCTAGAGAAACTTAATAGCTGAGTCTAAAATTTACAGTGTACCTGATCTACAAACTTGATTCTATGATTCTGATAAAAACCAAACTGAATGATAACTAAATCAATTTTCCTACAAGGTCAACATTGAACCTAATAAATTAAATTTTAAAAAAACATTGAGGGGCTGGAGAGATGGCTCAGTGGTCTAAAGCACCTACTTGGAACAAGCTTAGCAAAGCACAGGGACCACGGTTCAATCCCCCAGCACCACATGCCAGCCAGCCCCGCCCCCAGGTGGGCTAAGCTGGCCACACACACACACACACACACACACACAAATAAATAATTAAAAAAAAACAAACAAACACACATTGAACCTAACCACTGAATTTGAATTGATTCTCATCAACTCAGTTTGTGACCAAAATTGAAGAATCAAGCTTGTGAGCTGAGGTACCATTGAATATGAAGGTATAAAATTCCAAAAATATTCAAGATATTCTAAAAAATTACAAGGTGAAAGATTTGCTTTGCAAGATATATTTGCTCTGTGGAGAAATGCCTTGAAGAACAATGAGGTACTACTGGTACACTATCGGGAAACCAATGAGTGAAAGTCTTTGAAGAACCCACAGACAAGCCCAGACACAAATAATCCAAACCGTACTGCTGGGCACAGAAAAGACAGTCTTTTCACAACTGGTGCTTGGACACTGGATGTCCACAAAGGGAGAAAGAAAATTTAAACTCTATTTCAAGCAGGGAAGGGTGCTGCATGCCTGTAATTTCAGCACTTGGAGGCTGAGGCAGGAAGAGCATCATAAATTCAAGGCCAGTCTGCAGTAGAGTTCAATGTTAGCCTGGACTATAATGAGACCCTGTGTCAAACACAAAAACAGAAACACCAATAATTCTAATTCCTACATATAAATCATAGTGAAGCGAAATGCACATCTAAACGTTAAAGATAAAATAATAAAGCCTGTAGAAAAATAACTTCATAACATCTAAGAGATTTTATTTATTTATTTATTTATTTTAATGTATTTGGTACAGGGTCTCACTACACAGCTTGGACTCGTAGTGATTCTCCTGTTTTCAGCCTCCCCAGTGCTGGGATTACAGGCATACACCCGGACTCAGTGGCCCACTCAGGGCATTCAGGGGTGGAGCTGGAGCACAATGTGGTATCACATATTGAACCCTGGCCCTTCCAAGAGGTTCTTAAAATAATACAAAAAGCACTAAGACCATGCTCCTGCCCAGCAATGAGTTAGGACCCATGGGACTCAGCACAGTGGTCACAGGTAAGACTAGACAGCAACTCCAAGAAACAGGTGTTAGAGGCAGCATGGGCAAAACAGCCTTATGAGCCCAGGAAAGGTTTAAAAGTCAAGTTCCAAAAAAAAAAAAAAAAAAAAAAAAAAGTCAAGTTCCAGACACCAGCCAAAAGCCAATCTGGCAAGGAGCTTGTCCCAAAGAACAATCTTAGGTCTACTATGTTAACTTTCCTATCCAAGTCACACAATATTTCACAATAAAAGATGTTTCTAAAAGGTTACCAAAATTATGTTGGACCCATAAAGAAGGCCAAAGAAAAGATATTTGTTATATATGTATATATGCATTTGCATGTACATATATAAAGCTGAAAATAATAGTACTGTATTCAGAATGTAAAACTAAGATCTTCAAAACAGTAAGATAAAGACATACAATTTAACAGAAAAGAAAGAAAACTTGAAACTTAAAGAGAGAACACAATCCATAAACACAAGATACTCATCCTTCTAATATTCAGGGAAATTAATTAATTAATTAATTAATTAATTTTGCGGAACTGGCCATTGAACTCAGGCTCTTGTGCTTGCCAGGGAAGCACTTATTCTACTGAGCCATCTCCCTGGCCCCTATTCAGGGAAATTAAAGTCATAGGAAATACTACTATTCACACACTCATCAGATTGGCAAAAATCAGAAATATGTCAGGTATTAAACAAGTTGGGCAATAGAAAATCCAGTACTTTGGTAGAAGCACAGTTACTTTTGCAAACAATCTGGCGTTATAAAGTAAAATGTATGCACACACATAAGACTCAATTCTTCCACCAGAGACTTAAATCACCACTTGCTACCTTGTGCTCAATCACACCAAGAGAGCAAAGCCTACAGAGCCCCAAAGGTTGGGACTTGGTGAATGTGAACCCAGAAGGCTGGGTGTCCCACACCCTTGCCATACTCCTCACCATGTGTCACATCTTCTATCTGCTCTTCCTGAGCTGGATCTTTTTCTAACAAAGCTTACTCTAGTAAGCAAACTTTTTCTTGCTTTCTGTGAGATTTTCTAGCAAATTACTGAAGCCTAAGTAAAATAATAAAAAGCAATAAATAAATAGAATTCATTGAAAGAGGAAAAAAAATTACTGAAGGCAATATAGAGGGAACTTTTGAGAATCTCCACTTGGAGTTGAGTTGAAGTTGTGGGTTATGTGGAGTCTCCAATTGGGACAGGACTCGAAGCAAAAGCAAGGGGTGCTGGGAGTCTCCATTGTGGGACTACAAGCCCTTGCCATACTGGGGTCTGCAGTGTTGGAACTGAGATAAGCTGTAGGACACACAATCATTGTCTGCTGCAGAAATGAAGGAAAAAGCCCACTACTATTCAGAAAGCTGAATTGTTACGACAGGAATGAAATGTAACAAGGGTACAGACAAC